TCCGTTCTTGTTGTTGTTTTGTTTGTTTTGTAGATTGCTTTCTGTCTCATACAGAGACCTTTGATTTGATTCTGTTTGTTCATGTTCTTTCCACCCCGCTTATAAGGCCTCAGAAGCGCGCGAGAGGAATCCAGAGAAAAAACAGGATGGTAAGAGAAAGGGGTTGCAGCGGGTTAAAATTGATGTTGGGAAAATATGTCAAGAGATGAAAGGAAAGACTGTATGTATAATGGCTATATATAAGTAGATGTTGCCATGGGCGATGCCAGTGCAGATTCTGCGAATCAAGCTCTGTTGTGCGTAGTGGGGTCAGACAATTGGAAAGGTCGCTTCCTCCCGTCCCCGCTTTCACCGCATCACTAGCATTGTCGGCATCACTGACATCACTGGCATCACCGTTGCTGTCCTGTCAGCACCACAAGCATCACCAGAATTGTTTGTGCCCATTTGCGCTTCTAGTGCCATGGCAAGAACATGAAGAAACGGGCTCAATGTAGAGATTGCGTCAGCACCATTCCCACATTGACACGTCGCACGCCGCCTCCCATGCAACCAGCGTTCCACGCACCTGAACCCAGCCGCTCGCGCGGAGGTTGAGCAAGCACGGTTGGCCAGGACAAGACCGAAGAAAGACAAGTTCCCTACAACTACTGAGTCACTACTGCTCAAGTCTTCAAAGTAGTGGTGGTAAGTCGTAGGGCAGGCTAGTCTGGGCACGCCCATTGTAGACCTGGCCACGCTGGATGATTGCCCGCCCTAAACAAGGACCAAGCCCTCCCTAACTTGCCCAACACCTGTCTCCGGGCAAATCAACCCACCATCCTAAGCTCTCCGTAACCCACAACTAAATCAAGCGCAGACCCCGCAAACCCAACCAACCTTTGCGAGTGAGGGCGAGGCGCTGGCGGCACTGCGGCGCCTGCGAAAAGGGGCGGAGCTGGGGCGCGTGGAGGCGCGGTGCTCCCATGACTGTGGGTTCAACTGACTGTGGGTTCAACCTGTTCTGGTCGCATGGGCAAGGTTTTTTGGAAGTTGGGATTTAGGAAGCCCCAATGGGATAAGCCACCAGTGCGGGATGTCCTGCAGTATTTCACCTTCTGAGCCAAAATTTGGCAGTTTCCTTGAGGCGAGATGCTGTAAAGAGGACATAGAAGGAACCCGGAGGCTGATGGGATGGAATGGCGTGCGTTGGAAAATCATCGATCAAAGTTACCGACAACCAGATAGAGTACCAATATTTGTGTTGAGGCTTTTGTGTCGAAACAAACAGTGGCAGGGCTTGTTGTTTTCAGAACAACAACAAGATATACGTTTTTTGGTTGGATGCAGCAGAATTGGCAAAACTAGGTCATTTTTTTAAGGTGGCTTGCAACCTCTAGATGACCGTGTTTGTTTTCTTGATGTGTCCAGAGTTCGTCGGAGTTATTGTGTAACCATTTGCACTTTCACATAGTTTGTGCAAGTCTTTTTCTTGTTTGCTGTGCCTGGTGAGGTGAGGTGTGATCACTTGGAATTGAATTGTTGTTAAACCAAATCCAATTCAACTGCAACCTTCCACACTTGCTCACCTTGGTCAGTGAATGCACAAGTCAAAGATGCTGATTTGCAGCAGTTTTCTCACTGACTTCAGCCTCACCCAGAATCCCTTGAACGCGGCTCGGTGGCCATTGTCCGAGGTCCACATATTCTCAAGTCCATGTTGCATCGACCTTGCTCTTGCCTTGTCATTTGTTGCCACTTCAAGCATTGTTGATCCAGTGTTGGCCACTCAAGATTTCAGGCTTTTGGTTCACCATCTCAGGGTCTGTGGCAAATCATCTTGCTGGTGCTCAGCAGGCCATGAGGGAATGACCACTATACCCAGCCACACCTCTGGGTTCATTCCAAACCACCGGAACGGGCATTCCGTAGGGCTAATTAAGGCTTTGTCCCATGTCCTTCAGGCCGAGGTTTTTCGGGACGCGCTCGGCGCCTTTGCGAAGAGCCGACCAGGCGCGGAAGCGCTGCAAACTGCAAGTTGACTCCCTTGATATCTGGGGTTTCTTGATCAGTCAGCTCTATAGGTCGCGTTGCGTGAGAGCGGTGCGCGTGAGAGCTGCTCATTTTGTTGCGGCATGTAAATGCAACATTGGCGCGGCCTCTTGGATGGGGTTCCTCATTTTCTGCACACGAAACAAGTTCAGTTTGAGCAAGGTTTAAGCAAGGTTTAACTTCCTTTTTTGCTTCCACTGAACCTTTGATCAAGCACAAACTGAGCCAAGCCTTAGCAAATCATATTGAACAAAGCAGCGGTATTCAGCAGTTTTCCTGCAGTATACCCCCCCGCCTCAAAAATGACACGTGGTCAAACTGGGCACTTCCCAAGTTTTTTAAAATTGCTTCTTGTTGATCAACTTTCAAGCTTGTGGGCCTCATAAATACGTACATATAAATTAATAGAGGGAAACAAATACATAATAAGTATACACGAGTATATCTATATATATACACATTCATTCATATGCATATATATATATATATGTTAAACTTGGAGCAACTGTATACCTAATTACCTGATGTGATGAACTTGTGTGTGAAGTGAGGCGCAGTTGTGTTCCTCAGGGCAATAATGTACTGTCTACTGTAGCTGTACTAAGGCAGGTCTGTACATAGGCTCAAGGCCTTGGGATGTATGGGCAGCGGATGTAGCCCAACTGTACTGCTAGAGAAAGCATTCTCCTGAAATGTTGAAAATGGATGTTGCCACTGCGCAAAAGATGTGTACCAAGCTGTGCAACTTCCTTGTGGGTCGTGGTGTCAAAAAGCAGGTGTAAAACAGTTGCTGTTTCAAGCATATGTTGTATCCAGCTGTCCGACGCATGTCTTGGCCTCTTTCCAGACACTGCTGTAACCTCGTCCATGTTGGTTGCTGCTGTAGGTGGCTCAAGCTGACCATGGCGTTGTAGTCCCAAGCCAAACCGTTGGTCCATCAAGGACATTGTGTTGATTGTGTTGGCGAATCTTGTGCTCTGAAGAGGTAGGTCAAAGTTGTGAGAGCATCAAATGGACTGGTGTTGTAGATATGTGCTCGAAAAATGGCCTCCTCATGTTGGCCTGCAGTCCAGTGTAATCACCATTCAAACTGTTGTGAAACACCGTTTGTATTTGTGGTCTTCTCGATGTGCCACTCCATGATGTTGCACGCCTCCTTGCCGTTGACGTAACTGATGTTGTGAACTCGCACACATGTCAGCGATGTAGACAAGCGCTCGCCGTATCGCCTTCCGGTCCCCGAGCTGTGTGTGGGGCCGGGCGCTTCCGGTAGGCTCAGGGGTGCCACCGCACGATTTGGTCGCGTGTGGTCAGTGGTGCGCCAGAGGCATTTCTCTCTCCTTGCTGTGTACCTTTGGCCTCTGCTCCTTTTGTTCGCTGCTGTTGCGGCTGCTACTGCTGCTGCCACTGCTGTTGCCGGCCTTGCCTTGCTGCAGTTTTTTTTAAGCCTCCGGCTCTTTTCGCCGACCTTGAGGTACCCATCTTCGACTACGGCTTGGTGATGTTCCTGTGCACGTTCTTTCCCGGCTTGTGTTCTAGGCGCGTGACTGGCGGGTGCTCTTCTCCCGCGCCTTCTCCTCCCCTTGCGGTTTTGTGTGTGGTATTCTTTTCTGTGGGTGTGCCAGCCTATGGGGTGCTCCGCAATTGTCTTGCGGGCGCTCGCCTATGGGGTGCTCCACAATTGTTTTGCGAGCACGGGCGCGGTCACTGGCGCTCTATGAGGTGCTCCCCGATTGTTTCGCCAGCTTGCTCGTTCATGGGGTACTCCCCCTGCAGGCCACCGGTTGCGGAGCCCCCTTCGAAGCCGGGCCTTTGGCAGGGCCCTGCGCCACCGGAGCGCAGGAGGCTTCTTCTCTCTCTCTCTCTCTCTCTCTCTCTCTCTCTCTCTCCCCTCCCTCCCTCTCCCTCGCTTTCCAGTGTGCTCATCTGATGTAGCAAGCGCTGTCAAGGCCTGCATGCCGATTGGTCCAACGTATGAGGAAGAGTGTACCTCACTGATGTAAAATGTAAAAAGGGTGCAAATCCATGTTTGACATGTATCTTGCAAAAAATGCATTGTAAGAGGGTTGTAGAACTCCCAGAAAAGATCTACCGTGGCTCCGGATATCCTAAGTGAAACTCAGTTGTAGCGCTTTCGCTTTTTTTAGAGAAGGAAAGGTGACCTGCGCAACTGTTGTTTAACAAACTGTGCTGACGACTGTACTTACTGGTGTGAAACTGTTGTGATGGCCTCACAGGCCAACTGTGAACATGTGCTTGTTGAGAGTGTCGCAGCTGAATGTGGTTCGCTTTGTTTGATGTTCCTTCTCGCATCGATTGACAAAGCTGCGCTGCTGTCTGTGTATATCCTGATGTTGGTGCGTACTCCAAATGCTTCCTTGGTGAAGTTGCTGATGTAGAGGCTCCCCTGTGCTGCTGTACCAATTCTGACTCTGCTGATGGAAGTGCCATTGTTGCTTGTGTTCTGCTTCCACAAGTGTATCGCTGCTGCGAAGAAGTGTGTCACAAATCCTGTTGTGCTCTTTCTTGTTGTCGCGTATGCTGCACAGTTGGCATCTGTGTGTGTGTGTGTCGATGTTGAGTGGGGTTCGCTTGTCCTAGCCTGTGTCTGTATCTTTGGTACCTTGTGCCTTTAAGGCGCCTTATCGTGTGTTTGAGCTTCTTGTTGTCAAACTGTGTTGGTGGCCATAGCTGATGTGTATGCTAGCCATTGCACCTTGCCAACAAGCCGCCTGTGTTGCTTGTGCTGCTGTTCGTGGTCGAGTGGTGCCTCATCTTCTGCTGTACCTCTGATGTGTGACACTCCTGGCGATGGTGTTGGGTCGCACGTGGTCATTCCTGATTCTTCCAGGATGATGTCAACGTAGTTGTTGTTCAAGCTCATGTCGATGGAGTTGCCTTTGTGTGAAATGTTCCTGCCAAGGAAACGTATTGTTGGGCCTACATTGAGGTTGCTTGTGTGTCTCAGCAGTGCTTCTTTCTGCATTTTGCTGAACAGTGTGTCGATGATGCTCTGTACTCCCATGAATTGGGAGGTCGTCCACAAAGATCATGATGGAGACCTGGCAGTCCTTTGGCCTGTAGACATTGCTCTCTGTTGTGCGTCTCACAAGTTCAAGCCATTGTTTTCTTAAGCCGTAGATGGCTTTGTTCAGCCCGCACACGGTTTGCTTTGTTGTAGAATTCTTTTGGTGGTCTTATTACCAAGTTGTAGGAGATTGCTGGTGCATGTAGGAATGCAACACTGACATCTCCGGTACAGACTGACCAGTTGTACACAAGTGACATTGTGAGGAGTACCGTCAGCATGCGAAACAGTGGTGTGCTTGCAAAGAGTAGGTCATGGTCTGTAACGGGCTTTGTGTAGCCCTTTGCTAGTGCTTCGTTGCGTTTTGGTTTAAGAACCCATCTTGATTCAATGATGTTTGCTCGTTGTTCTGGTGTCATTGTGCTGCCATCAATTTTTGTAAAGACTGATTGGTCTTTCATCTGTTGTACTTCTTTCTTCATGCCTTGTGAAACGTGTTGTGGATCCAAGCCTTCAGTGTCATGTATGATCGGCTCTAGTAGGATCCTTTCCTTGTCGATTTCTTCTGTGTCCTTGCTGGATGTTGTCTCCATTTGTTTGCCATCTCTGGTTGTATATAAACTTGATGGCATTCATCCTCATTTAGCTTTTTTTGTGTTTGGTGTGGTGCGCTGTTGCTTGTCTGTGCTGCCTTCTGCTTTTGTGTCATCTCTCTCTCCTGTGTGTGATGTAGGCGGTGGTGCTGGTGTTGTGAGAGTAGGTGTAGGCAGTGCTGATGCTGGTGTCTTCCATGGACCTTTGTACACAGTCCAGTAGTTGCTGATCGTATTTGTGAGGCATTATCTGCCTCCTGATTATCCTTGCTCTGACAATCTTGTTGTAGGTCCCAATGAGGGACTCGCCTGTAGTTGTATCTTTCCAAGCCAGAACCTTGGCTCGAGTTTTGGAAATTGTTCCACTGCTGGTAGCATGTGCTGCACTGTCTCACCAAACTTGCGAAGTGGTGTATGTTGCTCTCTGTTCTATTTGTTGAAGTAGCTTGCGCGTCCATTGTTGTGGATCGCACATCTGTTCATGACATATGCGCCGTGTCGAACTATCCAAGGCATGAGTGGATGTTCCAGTAAAATGTCTCTGTTGTAGTTCTGCCTGATTTGTGTCTTGAGTGTTCTGATTTGTGCAAACAGTGTTCTGTGTGCTCGCTCTACTCCTTCTTGTGATTGTGAACTGTATGCCTCAGTTCCTCGTGGCGATGTTGCCATTCTTGTTTGCCAGTGCTGATCAGTGCTGTCAGGAAGTCTTCCTGATGTGGTTGTAGCATGGAGTGTGATGTTCTTCCACATTCAATGAGGAAGCGCTGTAGCTGTGTGAGCATAGTCGAAGAGCATCCTCTTGTTGGTCAGTTGTATGGCCACGATCATCCCTGATTGGATGTCAATTGCTGTGAGGATTGTTGCTGTCATCAAAGCCCTTGCTGTAGCCGAAGCCAAGCTGTGTGATTGGAAGCTTGCTGTGTTGCTTTGGGCGATGGTTCTGTCTGCCGCTTGCTTGTACGCATGTTGGACACCAACTTCTGTAGGGTAGGTGTGTCCTATTGTGGTGTTGGTTGCTTGGGTGCTTGTACTGCTTTTGCTCTTGTGCCTTGCTGTTGTTCCTCATCCTCTGACTCAACCTGATGTTCCTCGAAGTTTGTCCAGCCTGTCCAAGGCTTGTCCGATGTCTTTGCTTGCTTCGCTTCATGTCTGGCCCGTCATGTGTCTGTTGTGGTGTGTAAAATGCTGTGTGTGTGTGGCTTGATGTGTACTCTCTTCCAGTATGGGCCTTCTCTGTGCCAGTAGTCTCCTCCATGATGTACTTCTGCAGCATGCGGTAGTCCTTGTCCAGCCGCACCTTTGTTGGTGTGTGGTACTGTCGTGTCCTGTGCTGTTGTTTCTCTCTCAGTCGTGCGCGTGGATTGTACTGAGTTACTTGTGGTGTAACTTTCTGCGGTGTGCTCTTTGGCTGTGTCTTTGTTGCAAACTGTTGCTGCAGTGTCTCTGGTGTTGCTGTGCCTTTCTTGATCCTGAATGCTGTTTCTCCTTTCCACGTTTGCTGTTGTGCTTTGTTTGGAGCATCTGTTATTTGGTACTTGTCCTCAAACGTGTTCGTAGTCGTCAAGTTGTTCTGCTGGGACTGGACACTGTGTTCTTGATGGTGTGAAGAGTGTCTTCCTGTATTGTCTGTGTACTCTGACAAGTTCACCTGTGTGTTGAACTGCCAGTAGTCTCCTGCATAACCTGTGTCTGCAGGACCTTGTGGTGTAAGCGTTGTGGTCGGTGCTATCATGCCAATCCTGTCCTTGCTGCGCGCTGTGTATCTCTCTTCGTCCCTCTTGGCAGTGTTGTGATTTCTGCTTGTAGGAAGAACAGGCCATCTCTGTTCTCCAAATGTGCTGTTGAATCCTGTGGTGCTGTAGTCTTGGATTGTCACCCAGTGTAAGTTGGAAACCTTGTTCCACAAGCTTTGTAACCGAAAGAATTGGCTGTTTTACTTCCCCAATTTGGCAATCTGTTGTCCACTGTGGTTTGTCACGCAAACCCATCTGTACCCGTGCGGCTTGATGTGTTGGTTGGTGACTGTTCTCAGTTGTGGTCCTGTTCCATGCTGTGTTGCAAACCATGGTGGGCATACAGGTGTAGCCGCACCGCTGTCAACCATGAAACTGACCCACTTGTTATCTTCTGTGAATTGTTGTGCTGCGCCAATCATGGCAATTGCTACTTCTTGTAACCCTGAGATGGGTACTGCTGATGAATCTGCTGGTTGTGGCAGTGCTAGTTGTTGCATCTGTGTCTGATCCTGGTGGTACCAGTTGCTGCCATAGTGTGCCTGGCTGTGCCAGTCGTCTGTCTGGTCATTCGTGTCGAAGTTGCCAGTGTCGCAGTTGTAGATCGCCACTCTACACTGTTTGGCCATGTGTCCTGGTTGTCCGCATCTGTAGCAATCGTTTGTTGCTTGCTTTCTTTTTGCTCCTTTTCCTCCTGGTTGATTGTTGTTGTATCCCTTGCCTTTTCCTTTGTTGCTGTATCCTTTGCCTTTGCCATATCCTTGTTGTCCTTGTATCCTTTGCCTATTCCTTTGTTGCTGTATCCTTTTCCTTTGCCATATCCTTCTTGTCCTGGTGTCCTTTGCCTTTTCCTTTGTTGCTGTATCCTTTTCCTTTGCCATATCCTTGTTGTCCTGGTGTCCTTTGCCTTTTCCTTTGTTGCTGTATCCTTTTTTCCTTTGAAAGGATTTCCTTATGCAGCCGGTTGTTGATTGTATTTGCCTTTTCCTCCTTTGTAGTTGTTGTAGCTGTAGTTGTTCCCGCAGCCGCCATAGGCTTTGCCTTTGTAGTTTCCGTTGCCCTTGCGCTTGCCTTTGTTTCCTTTGCCTTTGTTGTACCATGTTGCTCTTATGTCCATTGGTGCTGGTCCTCGGTTGTTGCTGTTGCGTGATGTGATTGCCTGTAGCCTGTTGGATGATGATGCTGCTCTGTAGTATCCTGCTTGTAACTGTAGGTGTTGCTGTAGTGGTCCTTTTGTCTCATTGAGCAGTAGTGCCATTTCGACTGCGTCTGGTAGTAGTGTGTGGTTGTCTTGTTCATACTTGGCGCGTTGAAACTGCCATGTTGTAAAGCTCTCCTCGAACTTCTGTTCATCGAGCTGTGGTTTGAGTAACCTTGTTAGGTACCCAACGCTTCGTGTGCCACGTGGTATGGAGTATCTCAGGTGTAGTGGCCGCCATGTCTCGAAGCCGTTGCCTTGCGCGTTTTGTCTGCAAATTGTAGATTCTGGTCCATCGCATGTGCTCAGCAAGATGCAGTGCAAGTTGTTGCTCAGTTGTATCCACTGCTCTGCTACTGCTTGTGAAGGTGCTGCTGTCTCAAGTTGGCCGTTTGTAGCTGGCAGTTGTGATTGCTCTGGCTGTCTTGCAGTCTGTTGTATGAAGGGTCTTGTAGCCCATGGTATGCTGTCATCTTGTACTTCCATTCTTCGAATGTGTTGTATTCTCCTGTGAATCGTGGTGATGCTATCTTGTACTTGTGAATTCCTTCCAGCTGATGCTGTTGCTCTTGTTGTTGTTGGGCCGCCGTTGCTTGTGTGTTGTCTGGAAAGGCCGCCAGATCTTTCCAGGTGTGTAACTGTGTTCACTGCTGTATGCCTGAACCTGTGGGTGCGTTTGGAGTGTGGATCGTGTACCAGGGATCACTGCGCCGCTACCATGTTGAACTTGGAGCAACTGTATACCTAATTACCTGATGTGATGAACTTGTGTGTGAAGTGAAGCGCAGTTGTTTTCCTCTGGGCAATAATGTACTGTCCACTGTAGCTGTACTAAGGAGGGTCTGTACATAGGCTCAAGGCCTTAAGATGTGTGGGAAGCGGATGTAGCCCAACTGTACCGCTAGAGAAAGCATGTGGTATTTAACAATATACATATATACACACACATCAGGGTTTAACACACTCGCGGTTCAGGTCTCGCCAAAACTTCCAAACGAAGGTCCTGACGAGAGCAGCTCCCCGGTGCAGGGGTGCCTGGCGCTTTTAGAGCCGGGCGCCTAACAAACAGCACGGAGTCATTCAGCTTATTGTTCCCTTTTCTTTCCGCGGTTTTCGAGTATCACCTTCTCCAGTTTCACATGACATGGATATTCATGACGTTGAACAACGAACCCTATTTATTGAACGGGCTGGGAGCTGGGATTTGGCTGTCGGCAATGAGTTGCTTTCTTTATGAGCATGGGATTGAGCACGAATTTTGGCCAGCAATGAGTAGTCCCCATGCTTGTGGGGCTCCTGTACTTCCTTCGTTGAAGCGCGTTCCGGTTTTCTTTTTCCAGGGCTTTAGATGCTAAGTTTAGCTGGATTGACTTGCCGCTTCTCAGAGCGATCATTTTGCATGTGGGTCCCTTCCAAACCGTTTGGGGCCTGCGGCGCACTGGTGTGGGCCAGGAGGTGAAGGGGTTGAAGGGTGAACGCAAAAAATGGCAGGAATGTATGTTTTGTGTGAGTTGGTTGCCGTGCTTGGCTCCTCCTTGCACTGCCAGATTCGCAAAGAAACTGACAGGAAATCACAGCTTCGGATACTTTCACCTGTTTTCGAATGCTTGGCGCGCGGCTTTTCAACAGGTGAGTGCCTGCTGCCGTTTGTGTGTGCGTGTGTGTTTGCATGTGTGAGGCAGATGCAGAAGGAGGGGCATCGGCCCGACGTGGACTGCTGCAACGCGGTGCTGCGGAGCTTAGGCGCCGGGGGGCAGGAAGTTGTGGAAAGGGTTCACACATCTCAGGATCCAACCCCGCCCCAAACTCCAAGGCCTGCGCCTTATTGCGGGGGCAAAATGAAATCAAGCGACTTATTTTCTCGGGTGGGTCACAGTGGGAATCAAGCTAGAATCTGCAGGGCGGGTTGGAGCGAAACATGTAAAGAGAAGAACATTCCCAACAGCCAACCGCTCAATTGGGAGCCCCAGCAATGAACTTTGCGCCTGTTGGAAAGGCACAAACACAACAGGTGTGCTTTGCATTCAAGTATCCTTTTTGGAACAGGACATGGGACAACCATGTCCGTCCCCAAACAAAAGTGGGATGTATCACAGGCCGTTACTGACCTCCAGGAACTGGTTGACATGAGTGCTGGCCTGATTGGGACCGCCGAGCCCGTGCTAGTTTTCCAACCTAACAGTGTGCTCGCACAAACTTTTCATTCACTCACTCGCTTGATGCTGTTTGTTGCTTGCCGAAGGGGTGCTGCGAGTCTAATACCCTTTGTGGGATTTTTGTTTTCCCCCGACCTGAGGCAAGGTGCCGACAGGGAAGGTACCCGACGGGGATCTCATTTAGAGCCGTGGGTCAGGCCTTCGGCAGGGCGCGCCTGCCACAGCCGCAAGGCGAGCGGGATCAGACATTTTTTGGGCTGAAGCAAAGCTTCCCTTCGAAGCCAAGATGGGTACTTGTCAAGACAAGGTGCCCCAAAATGCCGGGTTTCCTTTTGGTGTGCCCTTGTTTGTTTGACTTTTAAAATTCTGAAAGCAGACTGTTTCGGGTCATTGCCTTGGCCAAGTGGCCAAAGTCATGCTAGGGGGGTCAAGAGGCTCACTTTCACAGGTGGTCGGCGGTTGAGCATGGCACATGTACCAGTACCAGAAGAGCCAGCGAAGACAGTGGGCAGAAGTTTCAAATTATAAAAGTATAGTTGTCGTTCTCTTTCTTTTCCTCTTTATTTTTCTCTTCTTGCCGTGCATGTTGCTCCTTTCTTTCCTTTCTTTCCTTGTTTTCGTTGTTTCTGTTCTTTCTTTCTTTCTTTCTTTCTTTCTTTCTTTCTTTCTTTCTTTCAACCAACCAACCAACCAACCAACCAACCAACCAACCAACCAACCAACCAACCAACCAACCAACCAACCAACCAACCAACCAACCAACCAACCAACCAACCAACCAACCAACCAACCAACCAACCAACCAACCAACCAACCAACCAACCAACCAACCAACCATCAATCAATCAATCAATCAATCAATCAATCAATCAATCAATCAATCAATCAATCAATCAATCAATCAATCAATCAATCAATCAATCAATCAATCAGTCAATGAATCAATGAATCAATGAATCAATGAATCAATGAATCAAGCAATCAACCAATCAATCAATGCAATCTAATGTAATCTAATCTATCTATCTAGCTATCCAGCTATCTATCTATCCATCCATCCATCCATCTATCTATCTATCTATCTAATCTAACCTAGTCTAGTCTAATCTAATCTAATCAGAATCTTATCTTGTCTTGTCTTGTCTTATCTTATCTTGTCTAAGTATCTATCTAGCTATCCTATTGTATCCTATCCTATCCTATCCTATCCTATGCTATCCTATCTATCTATCTATCTATCTATCTATCTATTTGTCTGTCTGTCTGTCTGTCTATCTATCCATTCTGTACTATCTATCCTATCTATCCCATCTATTTATCGATCTACTTACCTCCCTATGTATCCATCCATCTTTCTATCTGTATATCTACCTATCTATTTACCAACACACACACACACTCTCTCTCTCTCTCTACTTACCGATTTATGCACTCCATCTATTTACCTACCTACCTATCAACTATCTATCCAGCATCTTTCTCGGTGTTTCACTTGCTCTCTGTCTCTCTCTCTCTCTCTGTCTCTCTCTCTCTTTGAATCTCTCTCTCTCTCTCTGCCCCTTCCTTGCGAAAGGCTTCGCCTGCCACCAAATCTGTACCTTGCAAAGGGCTGCGCCTGACGCGTGCCGGCTCCGAGACTGGTCCGAACATGGTCCAAACAAGCTCTGATCAGGCGTCGCAGCCCCGCAACCCGCAGAGGGATGCACTTTTTTTGACATGTCCATTTCCCGACGCTGGTTATTCTCTTGCCATCCGTCTCAGGGAGCTGGCTTTCAATTAGTGCTGCAACACGAAAGTTCCTTCTAAACTTACTTTGAGTAGACCAAACAAAGTGTTTGTGTGTACAGTGCATACATACATGTCCATGTGCACGTACATGCATGTACTAGACAGACACAGGTGCATATGCGCAGTATATTTTTTACAGCTCCAGAAGGGGACGTTGTGGAGGCCTGCGATACTTCAAGCTTGTTTTTCAGACATTCATGTCCAAAGGTAAACATCTATGGCCTCCACAGCGCTTCTCCTGAAAATTCACTACAAATTGGTTGGGCATGGTGGATTTCAGGAAAAGCGTAGATTATGCATTACATCTTCTAGAGTCGACATGTAGAAGGAGATCGGGGGGGAGGGGGAAAGAAAAAACCTGATAGAGCCCACGAACCCGAATGCGCATCACTTTGCGCAAGCCAAGAAAATAATTAGAGAGAACATTTTTCGGTATAAGCCAATGGGGCTCGCAATCAAGCCTACTGCACCAACTATGTTTTTCAGCTTGTAAAACTGCACTTTGCGTGCTCCACTTGTTGCTACAAAGCTGCGATTTTCAATCTGGAGCTGGACACCTGTGCTTCGCGCGCTTGTACTACAAAGTTGCGATTTTCCAGCCGGAGCTGGTACTTCGCGCACTAGACTTGCGCTACACAGCTGCGATTGTGCAGCTAGAGCTGAAAACCTGTACTTTGCGTACTAGACGTGTACTACAAAGTTGCGATTTTCAAGCTGGAGCTCAAAACCTGTACTTCGCGTATTATACTTGCACTTCAAAGTTGCGATCTTCCAGCCAGAGCTCGAAACTTGTACTTCACGTACTATACTTGCACTACAAAGTTGTGATTTTCCAGCTAGAGCTGGAAACCTGCACACTTCGCGCGCTAGACTTGTACTTCAAAGTTGCGATTCTCCAGCTAGAGCTGGTACTACGAAGTTGCGATTTTCCAGCTAGAGCTAGAAGCCTGTACTCTTCGCGTACTACACTTGTACAACAAAGTCGCGATTTTCCACTGCTGAACAACACTTCTGATATCTGATTGACACTGATGAGCAACACTTCTGATCCACACTTCTCATCAACAGTTCTGAGCAACACTTCTGACCGGTCTGACCAACACTTCTGATCCCACTGCTCATCGACACTTCTAAACGACACTTCTGAACAACACTGCTTGCTGAATTGACACTTCTGAGCGACACTTCTGAGTAACACTCCTGATCGACACTTCTGAGTGAGCAACGCTTCTGACCCACACGTCTGATTGACGCGTCTGAGCGACACTTACCCCACTTTTTCTGATCAACACTTCTGAACAACACTTCTGAGCGACACTTTTTCTGATCGATTTTTCTGAGCAACACTTCTGATCGACACTTCTGAGCAACAGTTTTGAGCAACACTTTTGATCCGCACTTGTGCTTGACACTTCTGATCGACAGTTTGAGCAACACTGCTGAACCACACTGCTGATTGATACTGATGAGCAACACTTCTGACCCACACTTCTCATCCACAGTTCCGAGAAACACTTCTGACCAACACTTCTGATCCACACTGCTGCTCGACACTTCTGAACGACACTTCTGAGCAACACTGCTGAATTGACACTTCTGAGCGACACTTCTGAGCAACACTGCTGAATTGACACTTCTGAGCGACACTTCTGAGCAACATCGACACTTCTGAACGACACTTTTGAGGAACCCTTCTCATCAACACTTCTGAGCAACAGTTGACACTTCTGCGCGAACTTTTTGAGCGACGCCTGATCAACACTTCTGAACCACACTTTTTCTGATCGACGCTTCTGAGCAACACTTCTGAGAGAGACTTTTTCTGGTCGACTTTTCTGAGCAACGCTTCTGATTGACACTTCTGAGCGACATGTTTGAGCGACTGAACCACACTTTTTCTGATCGACACTTCTGAGCAACACTTCTGAGCGACACTTTTTCTGATCGACTTTTCCGAGCAACACTTCTGATTGACACTTCTGAGCGACACCTGGTCAACACTTCTGAACCACACTTTGTCTGATCGACACTTCTGAGCAACACTTCTGAGCGACACTTTTCTGCCACTTCTGATCGACAGTTTGAGCAACACTGCTGAACCACACTTCTGATATCTTCTGATTGACACTGATGAGCAACACTTCTGATCCACACTTCTCATCCGCAGTTCTGAGCAACACTTCTGACCAACACTTCTGAGCCACACTGCCCATCGACACTTCTGAACGACACTTCTGAACAACACTGCTTGCTGAATTAACACTTCTGAGCGACACTTTTGAGCGACACTTTTTCTGATCGACTTTTCTTAGCAACACTTCTGCTCGACGCTTCTGATCGACACTTCTGAGCAACACTTTTGGTCCGCGCTTCTGATTGACACTTCTGATCGACAGTTTGAGCAGCACTGCTGAACCACACTTCTGATTGACACTGATGAGCAACACTTCTGATCCACGCTTCTCATCGACAGTTCTGACCAACATGTTTGATCCACACTTCTGATCTGATCAACAGTTCTAGTTCTGAGCAACACTGCTGATCCACACTTCTGACAACATTTCTGAGGGACACGTCGCTGAGCAACACTTCTCAGCAACACTTCTGTTCGACACTTCTGATCGACACTTCTGAGCAACACTTCTGATCGACACTTCCGAGCAACACTTCTGTCGACACTCCCGATGAGCGACACTTTTGATCGACACTTCTGAACGACACGCTTAATCGACACTTCTCAACGACACTTGTACTAGACACTTGTGATCGGCGCTTCTGAACGAAACTTCTGTCTCCAAATGCGCACCGCGCCACAGCGAGAGCAATTCGACCCACCCAAAGCACGCAGAGGGTTCACTTTGCGCGCTCAAAATGTGCACCGCGCCACAGCGAGAGCGATTCGACTCACCTGATGTGCGCAGAAGGTTCACTTAGCATGCTCAAAATGCGCACCGCGCCACAGCGAGAGCGATTCGACCCACCCAAAGTGCGCAGAGGGTTTGCTTCGCGTGCTCAAAATGTGCACCGCGCCACAGCGAGAGCGATTTGACCCACCCAAAGTGCGCAGAGGGTTCGTTTCGCATGCTCAAAATGCGCACCGCGCCACAGCGAGAGCGACTTGACCCAAAGTGCGCAGAGGGTTCGCTTCGCGTTCGCAAAATGTGCGCCGCGCCGCACTCGCTGAGTCAAAGTGACGCGCTGGCCACGAAACCTACACCAAGGCGCACTCAAAACGCGCACCGCGCCACAGCGAGAGCGATTCGACCCACCCAAAGTGCGCAGAGGGTTTGCTTCGCGTGCTCGAAATGTGCACCGCGCCACAGCGAGAGCGATCTTGCTGAGTCAAAGTCACGTGCCTGCCACGAAATCTACACCCAGGCCCCAAAGTACTGCGCCCGCCACGAAATTTGCACGAAAAGCTCCAAAATGCAGCGCCAGCCACGAAAGTCAATCAACACGCTCGAAAGTGCTGCGCCTGTCACGGAAAGGAAGCTTGCCACAAACTCAAAATCATCGAAACTGCTGGACCTGCCACGAAATCCAACTTTGACACGTTTACACCACGCATCCAAAACTAGCACGGGAGTGTGGCGCCAGAATGATTTCCACCAATGTTGACATGTTTCAGGCCCGCCAAAGCGAGCCGATTGTACGACAGGGCCAACGAAAACGGCGCCGGCGCAAACACTATGACGCGCCTGCCAGAACGCTTGCGGACGCTTTCGGCCACGCGCGAGCCAACCAGCGAACACGACCTTACCCCGCCCCACTTAATAACGGGAACCCTTCGCTACGCATTCGGGAAAAAACAGGAATCTATTTTCCCCCCCCCCTGACCCCCAGCCCAGGAGAAGTGGGGCCCAGTAGGTGGTCCATTGGAGGTTCGCTTGGCCCCTGTTTGCAAGGGTCTAGAATTTCCTGTTGCTTACACAACTTCCGTGAAGATTCGTTTGTTTCTCTTGCTTAGACTTGAACTTGTATGATAGGTTAATATATTCACAGATTGAGATGTGCATCTTAGCAACTCGTATGCTTATATAGTTAGTGTTTGCTGCTTGAGCATTAGCACGGGTAGCATCATATGATAGGCCTTCTGGTGCTACTGATGATGCAAGCATGGACATTGTTGCTACAAGCAGTGTTAGCTACAATGTTCACTACCCACATTGATTGCTGCTATGCTTTCACATTTCATGAGCCAGCACATGTGGCAATTCTATGCACTTTGCTTGTGGGTCGGTTTGCGTGTAGTATTCTCATCCTTGTGCATCAATAGGGTAGAATAGGATAGAACATGTTTGCGTAAGTGGCTTTGACATACAATTACATCTGTCATAGGTTAGGCCAAAATGCAGCAGTGTCATCAGGCTGCCAGCTTCCTTTTGGTTTAGCGCGCGCCAGACATAGTGAAATATGGGCATGCTTTCATGTAGCGCAGACATTTCTCGATTGCTTGTTAAGGTTCTTGCGGCTGACCATAAGAGATCTGCTTATCAGAATTTGTTTGATGACCTAAGGCGGGTGCAAGTAGAATAAATCGGTCTCTCACCCCCTCCCATACCATCAGTTTACCATAGGCCAGTACTTCATACGTGCAACAGGTATCAGGACATGTGAGGGGTGAGGCAGGCCAACTCCAAGTGGGCAGCTGCCCGTTGAGTGGTGAAAGCCCTTTAGCTCCCACGCAAACTAGTTGCGGGTTGGTGTAGCAGGTGATAAACTATTTGTCCAATTTGCACCCAGCGGATGTGGAAATGTGAGGAGGCAGAACTGCAAGTGCTTTCTACACCGCCAGGGATGGGTCCTCCAGCTCCTACGCGAACTGGTGGCATGCAAGGGCTGATGTGGCTGGAGGTAAGAGAGCTCCTACTTGCACCCTCCATAATTCACCGACACAGTTTTTGCCAAGTAGATCTCCTATGGTCAGCCCAAGAAAGCCTTACACCTTATGCTCCTAGAACAACAAAGGAAGACTGAAATGCCCTGCGCTACATGAAAAACATTGTGTTTTCATGAAAAAATCGCTGGAAAACGACAAGGCTCCACAGCGTCCCGCACTCTACATTTATGTACGGATACGCGCAGGCAATGGACATATGTATATATATATATATATTTATACATGCATGACTTTATTCATACTCATACGCAGGCAAGATAAGCAATCGCCTATCAACATCTATACATGTCACGCATATCCACATATATGTACATATACATATTTAGGTACACGTACAGGCATACGTATATTCGCATACATGTATTTACAAATACGCAAGTGTGTGTATGTATAAATATAAACATATGTTTCTGATGTTTGCAGTACATCAACATGGTCACGATGCAGTCCTTTCCATTGACACCTGTCCGTGCGGCAGTTGGATGGAGAATGAGATGCCGCTCCTGGGGGACTCTCGGCAGCGAGCGGAGAGGTGCTGAGGTTGGAGGGTCGGCACGCAATGCGCCGAAACCAGTAAGGACCCGTTGGGGACAGCTTCGAAAGTGAACGAGTGCATTGCAGGCTTAAGGAATCGGTAATGTACATTAGAGGTGCGGTTGATGCGTGGACGGCAATCTTTCAGGTTGTAGATGGGATGCTCCTAGAGGACCGGGGCATTGCACGCCTTCTCCCGACAAGTGTCCTGTGTCCAATTGTGTGTGCGACAAGCAAAATCTAAGCTTGATGTCCAATGCCAAGAAAATGGGCTGTGCAGCTGAATCCCTCCCTCCAATTTGCTGATTGGCCTCGCAACCAAGAGCCACTTGTCGTTTGAAGCAGATATCCATGTATGCATTGGTGTCGTATGTGTTGGGTTGGGATTTTGAATTTGCGCAGTCTGACATGAAGACAGGTTGGGCTGAACAATGTCTGTTGTCATTTCGGAAGATTTGTTGTTGGCAGTCCGTTTTTTGGATTCCGAAAAGTCCTCTGTGTGTGCCGCAGCCCAGGTGGAGCCGGATGACGAGTCGGTGGAAATCCTCGTTGAGGCCTTCTTCCGACAAGGCGCATGACCCGTTGCGACCTTTCTGCAGGCCATTGTTGAGTGCCTGCCACGGAGCAAACTATGTTCTGCTTGAAGCATGCCCTTGAAGTCCCCAAGAGGGAGATCCAACAGCAGGTTCCAGTTTTGATAGCTGCTGCTGGCAAGTGTGGTAGGGAAAAGGGTTGGGGTGCTCGGGCTATCTTCCAATCCCTGTTGAATGCCAACTTTAGTTGCAATCCGGGGCGCCATCAGCGGTTTGCAGATCGAACCACAAGGCCCGCGAAGAGGTTGGAGTTTGGCAAAGTCGGTTTTTCCTGCTTCGCACATGGGACATCACTACCGGGGAACGGAGGCGTTCAAGGCAAAACCAAATTGAAAGGCAATGTGTCCGTGAGTGTAGAAGAACGGGGTGGGTAGGGGAGTTGGGTTTGCTTGGGGTTGGCAAACGGTGGGTGGACAGGTACATTGTGCTTGCATGAGGTCCTGTTGCACTGGGCTGTCTTTCTATGCGACGCGCATTTGTGCTCTTGGTTTCGTTCAATTGTCCCAGAAAGACTTGGAACTGGAGCCTTTCAAGGCTGGTCGGCCTTGCATGTTGCTCAAAGGGACCTAGGAAGTCATTGGATGTTTTTTGGGTCCACCCCATTCCGGGAAGTTCCCCAAAGCGGGCTCGGGGTCGCCTTGCCAGGGCTCCGCAAGGGCGCAGCGACATGGCTTGCGCGCTTGAGGCAAGGACGATACCCAGGGCCTCCCCGAAAATGCCCTTGAAGTGAAGGAAATTAGAAGCAACTTGTAGAGATAGACCTGACCTGGTGATGTTCCAGGCAACTTTTGGATTTGATCCTTTTTCGGACATATTGTTGGTTGCAGGACCGATGAGGAGTGGAGCGTGTTTGAACAACGGCCTCACAACATGTTTTGTCCTCTTGTGACGTGCCAACTCATTGCTGAAGAGGCCAGCTGCAAATCTGGAATGTTTCGTTGTTGAAAAGTGCAAAGGAATCATATGGCGATGGTGATGACGGTGACAGTGACAGTGACAGTGACAGTGACAGTGACAGTGACAGAGACAGAGACAGCGACAGTGACAGCGAGTGGTGGTGGTGGTGGTGGTGGTGGTGGTGGTGGTGGTGGTGGTGGTGGTGGTGGTGGTGGTGGTGGTGGTGGTGGTGGTGGTGGTGGTGGTGGTGGTGGTGGTGGTGGTGGTGCGGATGGGGGATAAGCAGATGATGCAGACGACAAAGATGATGCAAGTGGCAGGCAGGTGTTGACAAAGATGATGCAGGTGAGGTCACAAATGATGCAGGTGATGCAGATGATGCAGGGGATGTAGGGGATGCTCGTGATGCTGGTGATGCAAGTAATGCATACAATGCTGAAGAAGTTGCCCGTCTTCCTCAGCATCTGGAACATGGTTTGGGGCTGATTTCGAAACCTTTGCTCTGTCCCTGATGTATCGCCGGCATTATGCTGTTTTTCATTTCCAGATTTGGCATGTCTTTTCAGGTCAGAGCGACAGGGCATGTTCTTTGGGCCCAAGGTCGAAGTTTTTTGCCCACTAGAGCAGCGCCTCGCATACCTCAGCCACGCAGCCGGAGTTTTCGCTCAGGGGCAAGCCATCCGAGGATTTGCTGGGAGTGCACCTGGGCCAAATGAGCTGAGGGCAGAGACTTATGGCCAACCCTTGACAAAGTACCCTTGTAAGCATGGAACCTGGCAGCAGGTTTCCCTTTGACAGGCAAACCTGATGAATTGTTTTGGCTTGAGGGGTGATGAACCTGGGAGAGGAACTGCACGGAGCAACCTTGTGGGAAATCTGTGGGTTGCGCAACGTCCCTGCTGGTGAAGGTGCTTTGAGATTTCTTTATTCAATGACTCACCGCTCCATGTGAACAGAGACATGGCTGCTTGCTTAGTGAGCAGATCTTGGAATTTTGATGTGACCGTCGGTTTTTGGGTCGAAAGGGTGGTTTCTACGATCCTAAAGTGTCGTTTTGAGGGCACCATAAACAGGTTGGTTCAAAAGAAAAAAAGGAAACCAAACGGAAACCGCCTATTTTGGGGTTTGCCTATGCCCCATCTCCATCTCAACGACCCAAACGGATATGTCCTCAAGGATGCGTGAAAAGCTCAAGGAGACGGAGGAGGCCAGGCGTCGGGTTGGGCTCTGCCAGAAGCAGGTTTGCAACCCGTCCCTTTGGAAGTTCTTTTGGGGCCAACAGTTCCAACCTGGCATTGTATTTAGGCCCAAAATGCTCCGGCTGCGAAAGGTTTGAGCAAGCGACCCCCCAGTTTCCTCTTGATTTGCCTTCAACAGACTCCATTGCGCCATCCAAAAAAAACGGTTACTATTGTGGATGAAGTACCATCTCTTGATTTTCAATCTAGCCGTCCTCTTGCATGCCCCAGATGCAGGATTGCCCAATTATGCATTATTGGAGCAAACAGTTGCAGTGTTTTGATTGTTTTGACAGTTGATTCAAGCAGACATGTGTAGCCTTGCAGTCCATCATGGCAGAAAGTAGACTCTTGTTGTGGAGGGACTTTTGAGAGCCCAGGCTTGGATATGGGGTGCAAATTACGCGTAAAACTAGCATTTTTCTTGATCTGAATCAAGCACATTTCCGGCCTGTTTGAAAGACATTTCAGTACTGCATCTGCTTCTGTCGCAACGCCTTTGCAACTCTTTCGTCCCTCTTCCATCGACTGTCTCCATTTCTCATCAGGGCCTTGGAGGCTGAGGACATATAACCAACATTAAGCGATGCATAGAATACAAAGAGACTGCAAATCCACATACTTGTACAGCCTGGTCTTTTTTCCATCTCTTATCTCATTCTATCCTCATCCCTCACTCCCTTTAAACGCTACAGCATCGTAGACTGCAAGAGAGGGAGTGTTCAGAGTTGAATCAATGCCCATTCCCTTCCAAGCCTCAATCTGGATAGAAGGCCATGGGATGACATCAGACTGTAACCAATTGATTCACTTGTGGAATCTCTTTTCCTTCCCGTGCCATCTCTATTCCATCCCTAAGACAGATTAACAATTCATACAGATACAAAGATAAAGAGAGTAATGGTGTGACACCCTGGCCTCCGTAAAACGCATTGCACCTGCAAAATGTGGGGTGACCACACTGCTCTTAGTGTGCGAATATAGAGGATTGTAACCACACTGCTGTTGGTGTGTGAATGTAAGGGACGTAATGGCATCCGACGTTTGGAGAAAGCTCTAGCGGACGAGAAATCTGTCAGGACAATGGCCCAGTCTGCAAAACACCAAAACCCAAAAACAACGAGGAACCCCAAAGAAACAAACAAACCAAAAACGCCAATTCCCCAGACAAAAAGACCAACACACTTCTCTATGGACTTTGCTTTTGGGGGTGTTGGAGTTTTGATTTGCAAATGGGGGGCCTTTCAGGCATGGCATGACCACAGCATTGCCTTCAGGACTTTCTCTGTTGTTTTGTTTCGTGTTGGGGCTTTCTTCGATATGTTTTGTTCTTTGCACATGGGCGGCCTTTCGGGCAATTTTTGGTTTTGCAAAAGAGTTGCCCTTCAAGATTGCTTATGTTCAGCATCACACTTGTGGGACATGCCAAAAACGCCCAAATAGGGTGTGTGTATATATATATATATTTCTAAATATGTAGGGGAACTTTTTAGAGCAGTGTGTGATCCATGGTTGCCACGCAATTCTAAGCGCCGTATTTAGCATAGTTGCCCCCAGAATTTTGAACGCTATATCCAGATCCTGAATCCAAGATCTAAGATTTTTTTGGGACTTTTGGGAGCAATCTTGAATCCATGGTCCAGGATTTATTTGAGTGCCCGCGTTTGTCTATGTTCAGTGTCTAAAATCCCATGAACAATTGCTAGAAGGAGGAAACATGGGGATCCAAGATTTCCAGGAGACTTGTGGGAAGATCTTGGATCTGTCAATGTCCGCCTTTTGTGTTCTTGATACTGCATTTAGATTTCTAAGTAGCCTACTTAGATCCTAGATCCATGATTGTTCCCCACATTGTTTGTTGGCATGGTCAGTTTCTTTTTGTTTGACAGCTGTTCATGATTGTGGGACAAAGGGTGTAGGGAAAGTGACACCAATAGAATCCCTTTGTCAAGCGACAAAGTAGCCATGGGCATGGCCCACTTTGGTATCACAGCATAACCATGCTGCTGTTGGCGCAGCTTCCTCACGCCAGTCTTGCGAACGGAACGCTCTCAACCAGGCTTCTTGACAAAACACGTGGATCCTTACTTGAGAAACCGACAGTCCACTGTCTGCTTTGGAAAACCAGCCCGCAACGGATGAAGGGTCGCTTCAAGCAAGTCCACCGAAAACATCGGACATGTTTTGCTTCTTTTCGTTGCTCTTTGGAGGAGCTGTCCTTCCCCCCAAGGTCCAATTGTAGCGAATTCCAGAGTATCAATTTTGCGACCAGCTGGTACTTAAATCTGGAGAAAACCTGCTGAAGAATTCGGCAGGATGTGCTGCAGTACTGGCTGGGCCAGCCCAAGTTGGCGGGGTTGCGGAGGCGTGGCCTGACAGGTTGGGAGTGATCCACGGACGTCGAGGGTTGAGAGGTCTCCGTGGGAAATTTCCGAATCAGCGCAGAGGGAGCTCGGGGAACCATTCCAATGTGTTAGTGTTCGCCCTGTCAGTTTGCTCCCCTATCGGTTGATGTCCATCACTTTGGATATGGTTGAAACTGGGTCACAAATAACAATCGGTGATTCTAGGCCCTCATGGTTTAATGGCTTGACAACCGGCCTGAAATGGGGACGCCCTGTTGTGCGCTTTTTGAGGGTTCTCATCAAAGGGAGCAGACCATCCGCAATGTAACGGACTCATGTGTAAACTTGAGCCATGGTCGCCTCTGCTGCAATTGTCACATCATATTGAATTCATCTCATCACACTTGCCCGTCTGTGTTTTGCACCGCCAGCCGTGGCAGGGCTTGAATGCCTCACCAATGCTGCCACCGCAATGAGACTCAAAGTATGCACACCAATGCCATGTTGCAATTTATTAGAGGTTCAACTGTTTTGTTGATTGCGGGAAGGCCAGCAAGTGAAGGAAATCCTCAATCCTTACCTTTGGTTCCGGAAAGGGTTTCCGTTGTAGTATTTTCTTTGTAGGAATTAAGGAATAGGATTGGCCAACCCTCCATTTTGAACATGGCAGAGTAATGGTCAATGGTAGTAGTTGCAATAGGTTAAAGCAGTTTGCGACAACAGACACACACACACAAATAAACACTATTTCAAGGCTGACAAGGCTGGAGCTACAGAAAAGCTTAAGCATATCGAATCCCCAGTTCAACCGCTGCGCCCGATGGTAATTTTTTTGGAGACCAATCCTTTGAATGGGATCTACACCAGATAAATTGATTCAAGCGATTGCTTTTATCGGTGGGCCTCTGTTTAGCTCGCACAAACAGCAGGAGAACATGGCTCGCCCCACTTGTCCCGGACATGTTGGATGGGTGGCCTAAACTTGTTGCATTCGACGTACCGCACGCGTTTTGGTGCGAATGAGTGCCACCGATGCCCCGTGCTTGCAGCTTGTGCTCGAAGCTGTTTCAGTGCCTTGGTCGCTTCCTTTCAAGCCTTTCTTTTTGGACTGAGGGACATCACTGTCCCCCGCGCGGCATCTGTTTCTTCAATACTCAGAGCCGTAGCAAGGGAAGGGTAATTTACGTCCCTGCACGGCCTTCATGGCCCCGCAGAAACGACTCCGAACCCAAACCTTGAGGAGCCGTGGCCTGGTGCGGCGGCTCCTGCAGCTAAGCGAGGTGGCGCAAGCGGAGGCAAGGAGCGACCCACCTCATTTTTGCCCATCAAAAGTTGGGGTTGTAACTACGACTTGTGGTTAATTTTCTTTCATTTTCCTTTGTCAAGCGTTCCGGAGTCGCAATTGCCCGGAGGACTGTACCTATAAATTCCTGTGGGGGTTAACCATCACCGTTTGACTTCGTTCCGCCTTTCCCTTGAAAGGGGGGGCTAAACAGCGCCAATCGAAAGTGAGACCCTCTCATGTTTAAACGGGGGCATAATGACACGTACTGATCCCTGCGTTGTGAGGGAAGATGGGGTTTGAAACTCTCGTTGTTTGATCATTGTTATTTGCGTTTCCTGTTTCCCATACCCCATGGAAAGGCGACTATCGCAAAGCCGGCCATTCATTGGGAGGGTCTCGCAGGTTTGGACATAGCTCAGGATGGGCTCGTCGCAAACTTCCCGACAGAAGTGAACCTTCTGAGGCTCAGCATGTTCAGGCAAGCTATCTGGCAGTCAAGTTCTGCGAAAGGTCCAAGCAAGCAAGCAAGCAAGCAAGCAAGCAAGCAAGCAAGCAAGCAAGCAAGCAAGCAAGCAAGCAAACAAAAGAAAGCAAGCAAGCAAGCAAGCAAGCAAGCAAGCAAGCAAGCAAGCAAGCAAGCAAGCAAGCAAGCAAGCAAGCAAGCAAGCAAGCAAAAACAGC